GAGCCGGATGCAGTAGCTTAAACCTGTAATCCCAGCACTTTGGGAGGTGGAGGTGAGAGGATTGTCTGAGCCCACGGGTTCGAGACCAGCCCAGGTAACTTGGGGAGACCTTGTTTCTACAAGAAATAAAAAATTAGCCAGGTGTGGTATCACGTGCCTGTAGTTCCAGCTACTTGGAAGTTGAGGTGGAAGGCTTGCCTGAACCCAGCAGATCGAGACTGCAGTGGCCAGGGTGTGCACTCTAGCCTGGGCGATGGAGTGAGACTCCAACTCAAAAAAAAAAAAAGAATTTGCAGTGCTGCCTTAGCACATAATGTGCTATTAAGGTGTATGACTACTGCTGCTACCGCTATTACCACTACTACTAATGCTGTCACCACCATCACTACTATCACCATTACTACTAATTATTACTATTACAGTTTATGTGTCACCAGGTTTAGAAACTTTTCAAAGGCAAGACACCAAAAGTTGTATCCCTATTTTTCCTAGAAATGGAGATGGGACTGGATTTGGTAGAATCATTTCTCAGCAAGAGGATGTCAGTTTGGCTCTAAAAGAAAGTGACCACCCGGGCACTGTGGTTCACGCCTGTAGTCCCAACATTTTGGAAGGTTGAGATGAGAGAATTGCCTGAGCCCAGGGGTTCGAGACCAGCCTGGGCAACTTGGCAAAACCTCATCTCTACAATAAGTAAAAAAAAAAAGAAATTAGCTGGGTGTGGTGGTGCATGCCCATAGTTCCAACTACTTGGAAGGCTGAAGTGGAAGGACCACCTGAGCCCAGCAGGTTGAGACTGCAGTGGCCATGAGTGTGCCAGTGCACTCCAGCCTAAGCAACAGAGTGAGACTCCAACTAAAAAAAAAAAAAAAGTGACCAAAGCTTGAGAGCATAGTTGGGACAGAAGATATAGCAGGGATAACCAATGAAAATAGAATAATTATAACATTATAACATCAGTGATCTTCTGCTTTAATGAAACATTAAAAATATGAATATATCCTATAGGGAAGTTGAGTGTTAAATTTTTTTACACAATCATCATTTCCAGACAATGAGTTTCATGGTTTACTATTTTCATTTATTTATTTATTTTTAAATTGGAATCTCACTCCTTTGCCCAGACTGGAGTGCAGTGGCATGCACACTCACAGCCACCCCAGCAACAACCTTCTGGGCTCCAGCAGTCCTTCCACCTCAGCCTTCCTCATAGCTGGAACTACAGACGCGAGCTACCACACCCGGCTATTTTTTATTTTATTGTAGAGACGAGGTCTCGCCAGGTTGCCCGGGCTGGTCTCGAACCCGCGGGCTCAGGCAATCCACTCGCCTCGGCCTCCCAAAGTGCTGGGATTACAGGCTAAGGCACTAAGCCTGGCCTTATTTTTTAAAAATTGAAGTCATTTCAAATTTATAGCAAAGTCACAGTAGTATACAAAAATCTTTCTTTTGTTTTGAGTTGGAGTCTCACTCTGTCGCCCAGGCTGGAGTGCAGTGGCTGCTCCCGGCCACTGCAGCCTCGACCTGCTGGGCTCTGGTGATCCTTCTGCCTCAGCCTTCCAAGTAGCTGGAACTACAGGCGTGCGCTACCACACCTGGCTAATTTTTTTGATTTTATTGTAGAGATGAGGTCTCGCCAAGTTGCCCAGGTGGGTCTCGAACCCGCGGGCTCAGGCAACCCACTCGCCTCAGCCTCCCAAAGGCACTGGATTACAGGCTGAGCCACCGAGCCCGGCTCAAAAGTCTTTCATATGTTCTTCACCTAGAAAGGTCATTCAAGTTTTGCCACCCGTCCCCAAAATATCCCTTATAGCAAAAGAATACATTCTAGGATCGTGTATTTCACCCAGCTATCATGCCTCTAGTCTCCTTCAGTCTGGAATGGTTCGTCAATCCTCATTTGACTTTCAGTTTTTTTGTTTTGTTGAGTTGGAGTCTCACTTTGTCACCCAGGCTAGAGTGCAGTCACATGACCATGGCTACTGCAGCCTCCAACTTCTAGGCTCAGGTGATCTTTCCACTTCAGCCTTCCAAGTAGCTGGAACTACAGGCATGCACCACCACACCCGGCTAATTTTTTGTTTTATTTATCGTGGAGACGAGATCTTTCGAAGTTGCCCAGATGAAGCAGCTGTGATGGAGTGACCACACTGAGGTAGGGATGCCAGAAGGGCCACAGTTGTCCCAGCACAGGTGTCAGAGATGTGAGTGAGAAAGCTCTCAGATGATTCTAGCTCCCAAACTTTAAGCTACTCCGGCTGAGGCTTAGTGGAGTTGGGCTTTGGGCAGTGCCAGCTGACACAACAGGGCAAAGAAAAGCTGCCCCCCTCAGACCCTGCCCAAATTGCAGCAAAATAGTTTAACTGTTTTGTTTTGTTTTTGAGTTGGAGTCTCACTCTGTCTCCCAGACTGGAGTGCAGTGGCCGCTCCCAGCCACCGCAGCCTCCACCTGCTGGGCTCCGGCGATCCTTCCGCCTCAGCCTTCCAAGTATAACTGTTTTAAGCCACTAGATTTGAGGGTATTTGTTAGATAGCAGTAGATAACTGGAACAACTACGAACCAGCAATTTTGTGGATGGTGCCTCTGTTTAAGTTTGTTCGATGTTTATTCATTAGTAGATTCAGGTTATGCATTTTAATTATTATTATTTTTTTTTAGTTGGAGTCTCACTCTGTCGCCCAGACTGGAGTGCAGTGGCCACTCTCGGCCACCGCAGCCTCGACCTC